GTCCCTGCCCCTGATCAGGGTGGGGGTGGGCAGCCAGGCTGGCCAGGGGGAGGGGCTGCAGGAGGTTGGCCGCCAGCCCCAGCCCCAGCCCCAATCGGGTCGGTTGGTTGGCCACAGTTTGTGTCATAACGACCGGTCATACTGGTCACCTAGCTTTTATACATATAGATGACATGATATTGTATATAGAAAGCTCTAAAGCAGTGGTTCTCAACCTTCCTAATGCCGCAACCCTTTAATACAGTTCCTCATGTTGTGGTGACCCCCAACCATAAAATTATTTTCGTTGCTACTTCATAACTGTAATTTTGCTACTGTTATGAATCGTAATGTAAATATCTGATATGCAGGATGTATTTTCAGGGGTCGCGACCCACAGGTTAAGAACCACTGCAAGACTCCACCAAAAAACTACCAGATTTAATAAACGAATCTGGCAAAGTTGCAGGATACAAAATCAATACCCAAAAATCAATGGCTTTTTTTATACACCAATAATGAACTCACAGAAAGAGAAACTAAACAAATAATCCCATTTACCATTGCAACAAAAACAACATTAAGATACTTGGGAATAAACTTAACCAAGGTGGCAAAAGAACTGTCCTTGGAAAACTATACGATGTAGAAAAAAAAAGGTAGAAGAAGATATAAACAAGTGGAAGAATATACCGTGTTCATGGATTGGTAGAATCAACATCATTAAAATGTCCATATTATTCAAGGCAATTTAAAGATTCAATGCAATCCCTATTAAAATACCAATAGCATATTTCACTGATCTAGAACAAGTACTCCAAAAATTTATATGGCATCAAAAAAGACCCCGAGTAGTTGCAGCAATTTTGAGAAAGAAAAACAAAGTTGGAGGAATCACAAAACCAGACTTCAAGTTATACTACAAAGCCACCATAATCAAAACAGCCTGGTACTGGCACAAAAACATGCATCTGGATCAATGGAACAGAATAGAGAACCCAGAAATCGACCTAAGCCATTACGCTCAATTAATATTTGACAAAGGAGGCAAAAGCACACAATGGAGTCAAGACAGTCTCTTCAATAAATGGTGTTGGGAAAATTGGACAGATACATGCAAAAAAATAAAAAAGAAATTAGACCCCCAACTTACACCATACACAAGAATAAAGTCAAAATGGATAAAAGTCTTAAACGTAAATCGGAAAACCATAAAAATCCTAGAAGAAACCATAGGCAGCAAAATCTCAGACATCTCTCATAGCAATATGTTTATGGATACATCTCCTAGGGCAAAGGAAATTGAGATAATAAACAAATGGGACTACATCAAAATAAAAAGCTACTGCACAGCAAAAGAAACCATCAACAAAATAAAAAGGGAGCCCACTATGTGGAAGAACATATTTGGCAATGATACATCTAATAAAGGGTTAATATCCAAATTATATAATGAACTCATACAACTTAAAAGAAAGACAATCCAATTAAAAAATGGGCAAAGGACCTAAATAGACACTTCTCCAAAGTGGACATACAGGTGGCCAAGAGACATATGAAAAAATGCTCAAAGTCACTGTCATCAAAGAGATGCAAATTTTAACCATGAGTTATCACCTCATATCTGTCACAATGGCTATCATCAACAAATCAACAATGACAAGTGCTGGCAAGGATGTGGAGAAAAGGGAACACTAGTACACTGCCAGTGGGATGCAGTCGGGTGCAGCCATTATGGAAAACAGTATGGAGTTTCCTCAAAAAGTTAAATATGGAACTGCCATTTTGACCCAGTGATCCCATTTCTAGGAATATATCCTAAGGAACCCGAAACACCAATCACAAAGAATGTATGCACCCCTATATTCATAGCACAGTTTACAATAGCTAGGATGTAGAAATAGCCCAAGTGCCCATCAATAGATGAGTGGATAAAAAAGCTGTGGTACATTTATACCATGGAATACTATGCAGCTGTAAAAAAGAAGAATCTCTTACCCTTTGAGCCAGCAAGGAGGGACCTGAAGAACATAAAGCTAAGTGAAATAAGCCAGACAGAGAAAGAAAAGTATCATATGATCTCACTCATATATGGAACCTAATTAACAAAATAAACTGATGAACAGAGTGGATCCAGAGACATAGAAGCATGGAACAGAGTGCGGAATCTTGGAGGGGAGGGGTGGGTGGGGGGTGGGGGGGGGGGGAGGTAATCAACCAAAGACCTTATATGCATATTAGAGGCCCGGTGCGCAAAATTCGTGCATGGGGTGGGGGGTTGGGGTGTCCCTCAGCCCAGCCTGCACCCTCTCCAATCTAGGACCTCTCAGGAGATGTCCGACTGCACCCTCTCCAATCTGGGACCTCTTGGACATCCTTCTCACAATCTGGGACTGCTGGCTCCTAACCACTCACCTGCCTGCCTGCCTGATTGCCCCTAACTGTTTCTGCCTACCAGCACGATCACCTCCTAACCGCTACCGCCGGCCTGACTACCCTGCCGGCCTGATTGATGCCTAACTGCTCCTCTGCCAGCCCAATCGCCCCCAACTGCCCTCCCCTGCCAGCCTGGTCACCCCTAACTGCCCTCCCCTGCCAGCCTGGTTGCCCCTAACTGCCCTCCCCTGCTGGCCTGGTCACCCCAACTGCCCTCACCTCTGGCCTGATCTCGCCCCCAACTGCCCTCCCCTGCCGGCCATCTTGTGGTGGCCATCCTGTGATGACATGAGGGACTCGCGCGAGAGCCACCTAGGCTTTTTTTTGTATAGATATGCATAACACACGGACACAGATAATAGGGTGGTGAAGGCTTGGGGTGGGGGCAGCAGAGGCCTGGAGAGGGTCAATGGGAAAAAAGAGTGACATATGCAATACTTTCAACAATATTTATTTAAAAAAAAAGAAGAAGAAAGAAAGAAGGGGAACCCAGCAGACAGAAACTTAACCAAGTGATCCAAGTTAACAGACCCAGTGATAAGAAACATGGACACAAAGAACTCCCTGATACAATGCACTGAGGAGGGCACATGACCTCTGTGGTGTTCTGCCAAATATGCATAACCTCTAGACATGAGAAAACATCAAACAAACCCAAACTGAGACAGTCTACAAAATAACATAGTAGTTGTCTTCTGAACAACCATTACAGATCGGAGATTAAGGAGACATGACAATTAAATGCAGTATGGGGTCCTGGATAAGATCTTGGGACAGAAAAAGGACATCAGTGGAAAAACTAGTGAAATGTGACTAAAGTCTGTCATTTAGTTCATAGTACTGGACCAGTGTTAATTTCCTCATTTGAACAGTTGTGTTAAACTTATTTAAGATAGGAATATTAGGGGAAGTTGGGTGATGGGTATGTGTATGTAAATTCTGTACTATTTTTACAACATTTTTGTAAATCTAAAATTCCTTCAAATAAGAAAGTTAAAAATTGTGCTAAGAAGCATCCTTTGATGGAAATCTGGACCCTAGAGACTGCCCCACAAACATTCTACTGGTATCCAGGCAGAACCTTAGGCCAGAATGAAGAAATGCAATGGTATTCAATAAACAGCCAAGAGAGAAGTTACTGCCTAGATCCACTCAGTTTCCCAAGCTCCACTGACTAGAGTCTGCAACTGAGCCAACATCACTGCCTGAATCCAGAGTCTGGATGCCAGAATCTTCTACTCTCCCACTTTCTACCGTGTTGGAGTCTTGGTGCTTCGAGAATCAGACAACACCCGCTAAGCCAGTGGTTCTCAACCTTCCTAATGCCATGACCCTTTAATACAGTTCCTCATGTTGTGGTGACCCCCAACCATAAAATTATTTTCGTTGCTACTTCATAACTGTAATTTTGCTACTGTTATGAATCGTAATGTAAATATCTGATATGCAGGATGTATTTTCATTGTTACAAATTGAACATAACTAAAGCATAGTGATTAATCACAAAAACAATATGTAATTATATATGTGTTTTCCGATGGTCTTAGGCGACCCCTGTGAAAGGGTTATTCGACCCCCAAAGGGGTCGTGACCCACAGGTTGAGAACCGCTGCCCTAAGCACCCTCCCTGCATCCTGCCAACAAAGGCTGGTGTCCCACTTAGAAATGGCCCAACAGGAATGCCTCATATTCTGAGGCCCACTCCCCTGCTTAGACTCTATCCCAAAGAAACACAAGAAGGTATTCATTAACAATCCCCATGAAACTTAAATGTAACATATTCGAAACCCTTATGTGTAATTATGTGTAAACTAGAGGCCTGGTGCATGAAATTCGTGCACAGATACAGTCCCGAGGCCTAGCCGGCGATTGAAGCGCAAGCATCTGGCGTGGAAGGGCAGGTCCCAGTTGACCTCTGGGCCTTGGGCAGCACCTGGGCCCCTGGGTCCCCACATGCCCCCCTCCACCTGAGTTATTGGGCCCCCACCCAGCTCCCTCAGCGCCTGGGAGCTGGATGGTGGCCCCGCTCCCCTCCACCGCTGCTGGTCGCCATCTGCGGGGCAATTGGCGGGGCGATTGGGCCCCACTCACACCTGTCTTGGCCTGGTGCTGCCCACTCACCTGCTCCACCATACCACCTCGGTCCCACTCTGGTCAGGGTCCATTGGAGCCGGCAATGCCTCCACTGCTGCCCGCTGCTAGCTCTGTGTAGCTGACGCCTGCCATGTTCTGCACAGCCCCCTGGTGGTCAGCGCATGTCATAGTGAGCAGTCGAACTCCCAGTAGAGGGGACAATTTGCATATTAGGCTTCTATTATATAGGATACCTACACTATATTTTTTGTTTATGGAGGAACAGCACATCCACACGGGTGGGTGATGGGGCCATTTTCTATCATGATTGTAGGGACAGTTACACAACTGCATGCATTTGCCTAAACTCAGAAACTATATACCAAAGATTGAATTTTACTTTCTGTAAATTTAAAAAACTGAGTTTAAAAAGTTGAAAAAAAAGAATGACACACTGATGCATGCTATGAACAAAGACTTCCAAGGTATATTACTGTTGAGGACAGTGGGAAGCTGCTATAGAGGCAGCAGCCACATAGAATGGCTTTTCTCTTTAAATGGCAAGCTCAAAAATAAACACACACACACACACACACACACACATATATATACATATATGTTCATGAATGGGAAGAGGTCTGGCAGGACACCTACCCAACTTCTGGCGGTAATTACTTCTGAGGAAGTTAGACTTTTGGTATAGAGGGGCAATGAAGGAGACTTCCATCTTTCCCTTGACACTCTTTTAAATTCATTTTAAAAAAAAAAGAGGCTTAGGTGTACTAGTTGTAAAATGTAAGCAAACAAATAAACAACCATACTGTACTCACCCTTAGTACATTCTGAACTCTAGTGTTCCTTGAGGGTCCCAGGAGAGCTGATGTCAAAGATTGTGCTTCTACAGAGACAGAAAAGAATAAGGCTATATTTTTGGCCAACCGGAGCCTTTCTGCTAATTGTATTCTGTCATTTACAAATTCACTCCCTCAACAAGTATTTATTGAGCACCTGCTCTGTGCCAGGCACCAAGGGATACCAGTGATCAAGACAAAGTTGTTATACTCAGGGAGCAGACATTCCATTAGGTGAGGAAGACAATAAACACACAATATGAAGTCAGGGAGCAGGGTGCGGAGAGTGATGCAGCTGCTATTTCACAGAGTGGTCAGAGGCTTAAGGAGAGAACAGAGATATGAATGTAAGAGACTAAGAACTATGTGGCTAGCTGAGAAAGAATATTCCAGGTCACGAGAATGGCAGAGGACCTGAGGCAGGTGTATGTAGGGGGAGCATTTGAGTAGCAACAGGAGGTCCATGTGCCTTGTGCAGGGTGAGTGAGGGGACAAGTGGTGGGAGAGGAGGACAGGGAGGTGACTGGGGCAGATAGTAGGCCATTCTGAGCACATTTCCTTCAGACACTTGTGAGGAGTGGCAGAGAAATAGCACTTATCCTCACATGTAACTTTATATTATTAATTTACTAGTGGCCTGGTGCACGAATTCATGCACACTGAAAGGAAATTAATTAGAAGAAATATTTTAATATTGCTATTTGCCCTTTCTATATAATAGAAGTAGCAACCAAATTCACGATCAACAATGACAGATCAAAAAACACATGTGCGATTGGCGCCAGCGTGAGCTTTATATGTATTGCGCATGGGCGAGTCAACTTAGCCTTTTATATATATATACTAGAGGCCCCGTGCACAAAAATTTGTGCACTTGGGAGGGGAGGGGGGTCCCCCAGCCCGGCCTGTGCCCTCTCGCAGTCTGGGACCCCTTGGGAGATAACGACCTGCTGGTTTAGGCCTGCTCCCGGGTGGCAGAGGGCAGGCCCAATCCCTAGGTGCAGCCCCTGGTCGGGCTCAGAGCAGGGCCGATTGGGGAGTTGGGGTGCCGCCCCTGTCATGCACAGAGCAGGGCGGATCGGGAGGTTGCGATGCCACCCTCAGTCACGCTCAGGGTAGGGCCGATTGGGGGGTTGGGGCACCGCCCCCTGTCACACTCAAGGCAGGGTCGATGGGGAGGTTGCGGCGCCACCCCCTGTCACGCACAGAGCAGGGCCAATCAGGGGGTTGGGCACTGCCCCCTGTCATGCACAGAGCAGGGCGGATTGGGAGGTTGCAATGCCACCCTCAGTCACGCTCAGGGTAGGGCCGATTGGGGGGTTGGGGCACCGCCCCCTGTCACACACAGAGCAGGGCAGATCAGGGGGTTGGGGCGCTGCACCCTGTCACACTCAGGGCAGGGCCAATGGGGAGGTTATGGCTCTACCCTGTCACACACAGAGCAAGGCCCGTGGAGGGGGGTTGGGGCGCCACCCTCTATCACCCACAGAGCAGGGCCGATCAGGGGGTTGGGGCGCCACCACTGTCACACTCGGGGCAGGGCCGATGGAGAGGGTATGGCTCTACCCTGTCACATACAGAGCA